CCCATTGTTTGCTGTGGTTTGGAGGGGGCCCTGTTCTGTTTGGAGCTCCCATTGCCCACTTGCTGGGCACAGGCTGACCTGCACTTTAATCAAGAGTCTTGCTGTCATAGAACTTAGACTGTAAGATATATTTTGCCCTTAGTCTTTACATCACAATTCAAGTCATGGCTGGCTTGTTTGATACGAAGTAATGAAGGCTTGAGATTTTCTTGAGAGGGAAAGTGAGGAGATGGTAACCAGGAGAGCAAGAATTGTTTGGAGAGAAGACAGATTTGAGCTATTAGCAATATCAATGCTGTATTTGATGCTGCCAAAGCCATTGATTGGCTCAAAATTAATGTAAGAACACTTTCTTTTGGATTACATGATAGCTCCTTCAGAGGGAAGTAAAGCAGTCCATTGTGGGTAAAAAATCTTAAAGTCCTTCTTTCCTGAAATGATTACTGACTCATAAGGAGTCAGACCAAGCACAAGTGTAGGATACCTTTGTTTTGTGGGACCCTGAAAAAAGCCCCAGAACTACAAAGAGTTGTGTTACATTAACATGACAGGACAGGATATCATATATAATAGTAATAAATGTCAAAATCTGCACATACAGACCCACAACTATAAGTATTTTCTAATTATTGAAATTTAAATTGACCTAGTTATGCATTTATGGGGTTTTTTTTATGTATCCTTTTTTTTTGTTTTGATTTCTGCTAGTAAAGCCAAAGGAAAATAGTAGCTAAGCATTCATTTTATGCTGATTAATTTCTTCTTTGTTTTAAAACTCAAGTTAAAAGAAAAGGAATATAAATGAAACAAAACAATAGAGAAAATAATTTAGATGTCAGATGTATCCCTGGAGACACAGAGAGAGGTGTCAGCATGATCATATAAGAAATCTTTAGCTAAAACAAAGTTCAGTACCTAAGAGCATCTTGTCACTTAGAAATTGATCCATTTTGTATCTCAGAGGAATTGTATTCATTTGAATTTGTTGATTAGAGAGTGCATTGCATTAGCAAATGATACTATTTAGTGAAGAGCTGAGCAAGTACCAGGAGAAAAACCCAAGACTTCACTCCATAATGCATTTTGTTCATCTATTTAATGAAACAAAATATTTTCCTTGGATTTTTTTTTTTCAATAGAAATGCAACAGAAAATTGGATATTTTATTTAAATGAAATCTGATAATGAAGTGATTTGCTATGGTGCTGTCTGTCCTGGTAAATTTGGTGGTAGTGACACTGAGCGATAAAGTGATAAATGGGGTGGTAAGGCAACTTTTCAAATCAATGGAGTGTTAGGAGGATTGAGGGTTGGGGTTTTTTTAGCAGTACTATCTCATGTAATTTAAAATCTTTTAAATTCTGCAGTTCCAATTTTCAAATTATCAGAGTGAAGAGTAATGTGTCTCCATAGTCCCTTGTCCCTGGTAGTAAGGCTTTAAATAGCTATTCTTCATATAAGAAATCACTGCTGCACATTAACATTAAGCTAACATGTAAGGAGTGAACTGTATTAATTAGTAAGTTAATTTCTCTTGACTGCAAGTTGATAGTAATCAGATGTGGGAAACAAAAACCTAGTGTGGTCCAGTTTAGGTAGGATGTGCTGTACAATAATTTGTTATGTGCTGAAGGTACTTCAGATTCTGTGATTGTTTTTTCTCCCTATCCCTCCCTCCCAATCTCATCCCTGTTAGGAATACTAGGAGGAGCCCAGGAGCCCAAAGAAGTGTACCCCTCATCACTGAAGGGACAACACAGGAAATATGTATGAGGCTAACAGTTGAGAGGAATGCTTCGTATCAGCTGCAATTAAAACGGATGGGCAGCATCATTGGAACCATGGGGTGCAGCAGTTCTGTAGCTGACAGGAAGTCAGAGAATGGTGAGTGTTGCCTTTGTCTTCAGGGCAAGTGGTTGTTCTCTCTCTAACACCAGAAAAAGATTGCAAGGTAATATTCCCCCCCAGTCCTGTTGTCAAAATACTTGTTCAGGGAAATTATATTATAATTAATTTCTTTTTAAGACCGTGCATAGCTTTTAGATGCTGGCTGAGGTCAGGAAGCAGCTTTACATCTCCTCTAACATTGACAGATTGGGTTGTAAAAGATTCACAGCATCTGGGACAGAAGCTTAATTTCAGAGGTGTCTGTGCTCACTCTGTCACTGGCAAAGCTTAGGGGGTAAGGTATTGAGTGGGACCTTTTATGGCTTTTCACACCACAGGTTCCTGGGCAAACCGCCCCAATTTCCCTGCTGTTGTGTGACCCCAATTATGAAATGAGTGTAATAAAGCAGAGCTATTACAATGACTTCAAAATCAGTTTTCTGGCCTACCAAGTGCCTGGCCTGACATTCTCCCTGAAAAATACTGAGGCTGTCAGCTGAAAGTCTCCACGGGACTTAGATCATCACCCTCCTTTTAATCATGCCTTGATATGAACTCAGCAGGCTTTGCACTGGCAGGTGGATTCAGACCCTCTGTGTTCTCTTTCAAGATTTTTCATTAAAGCACAATTTATTGGTCAGCAGAGAGCCATGTTACATGGTACTGTGCATAGTGTTAGGACATTATTATGCTGAACAGCCATGGTTGAAAATGAAGGCTCTTTTTGGCTACCAAGTCAGGACAAGACACACAGGAAGATGGTGACTAAGAAGCAGGAACACTTAGTCATAGCTACAGGGATCCCAGCTGACTGGTTTGAGAGCAGCCCTCTGCTTTGTGTATGCTATTTCAAAGCAGCATCAGGGCTGTACCACAGCAGTGAAAGTAGAATGGAATCATCCAGAGTCCCAGACCTACCTGTAACAGGGAGGCAGCTCTTCCTCTTTGGGTTTGCATGCCATGCCTACATGCATCTCTGCCATGTGAGACCTTGGGGATGTGCTACTTGGGAATATTTCTGAATGTGTAAAAGCTTGGAGTGGGCATGAGGAGCTGTACTCTTTCTTGATCAACAACCATCAATGAACATTGACGTGGGGATTAGGATTTTGTGTGCTTGCTGGACTGTGTTTTGTCTTCTGGAGTTGCTGGATGGTTTCCTTTCTGCTCTTCAATGGTAGTCAAGTTGCTGATGCTGAATCATTCAATCTGCAGCCTAAGGCTGTACATTTCTCTAATGTATTAATAACCCAAATTTAACAGATACTTGTTGGTGTAGAGACCTTCTTCAACTGATAACAATTTATTTTAGAGATGCAGTTTAGCCTAGTATGAAAATCATGTTCTGATTCAGTCCTGAGAATAACAGTGCTGTAATAAGTACAATTAAAAAAAAAAAGAAAGACAGGAAATGTTCTGTTAGATTTGCAACATTAACCAAAGTGATTGATATGTATCTGTCTTATGTGATAGCAATGGAACTGTGCCATGTTAAGTGCTCAGGACCATTAAGCAACCCAGGGGGCTTTAATGGGAAGTTTAATGGCTCTGATGCTGGAAATCCATTTCTGTGCTGGTGATTGTGCTTTGCCCCTTAGGTACTCTTCAAAAACAGAAATGTTGGTGACAGCCTTGCTGTTATGTCTCAGGCTTTCAGGTCTGTAGTGGTGGGGACTTCCAGAAAGGACAGAAAATAAGAAATCTCAGAGTTTATGCAGGGTCTGAAGGATGCTCTTAGTAATATAAAGATCACATTTCCTTCAGGCAGGAGGATATTTCTAGAATGGATGCCGTATCTATAGGATCAGAGACTTTCTGGATTTTGGTCTTGTCTAGACTAGAAAATTTTACCACTTTCACTATACTGTATACTAATAAATGGTAAAATAAGAAAACAACATGTTGTTATGGCATCTGTAAGCATTTTTATAAAAATGTTTTCTTAATGTTATACTCTATTAATAGAATCACTTTCCAATTAATATTTGTTCCTACCTGCATAACTATCAGTAAGAAATAAATCATTCTCACTTAGGTTCCACTCATCCTAGTGTAAAAATTCCTGGTATTTGTGATAAGTTACAATAATTGACTGTTATCCCTGTAGTACAGAGTTTTTCTTTACTGTTTTGCAATGCAGGACAGTGCCCATCCCAGGACCTCTTTCTGCCCCCAGATGTTTCTCTGCTTAATAAACTTTTATCTGAGCATTTAAAGGATATGTGATCTCTTTGTAGCATGAATGAGGCCTGAAGGCAGCAAGCTCTTTCCTCCAGGCTGTAGTCTTGATGATTGTCCTTCAGTGAAGTTTCCAGCAGTTTTCCAGACTAAGACCATTGTAGACACAACTTCTTGAAGTGCTGAGTGAAATGCATACTCAGCACATAGTCAAAAATGGTCTTCTGGCATGTTCCATTGACTTTTTGGGGTGAGTGTTCTTTTGTTAGACAATCTATCTAGAACTATACCTTACTGCCTTTTAGAATATGTTGCTTTCTCTGTAAGCAACATATTCTACCCTTCAATACCATTTGCTAACTTTTTATCCTAGGATTTGAATTTCACTGGTTTGCTGATGCAGCTCTGCAGGCAAAAACTTTCTGGTAGAAGAGGCTGTTGCAAATACTGTCATGAATGGTTGTTTGTGTCACAGCTTGAAAAATCAAAGCTTTTTACTGGAGATTGATAAAGAAATACACTGTTGATAGGCTAAACTGTTCTTCCTTTCTTCACCTTCCCAAAACCCATAGGGTGCCCATCAGCTGAACATGACTGACTTCTTACCTGGGTACTATCTTCAAGAGAATTAAATGGTGAAGGTTACTAACTACTTAGGCCTGAGCAAGTCAGCTAGCTTGGGATTTGTGTCAGAAGACAGAAACAGTAAAGGCATCATGTATTTTTTTCAGTCTCATATTTACTGGATTTCATCTTGTTGACTGTGCACAATGGACTGAATCATCATCTGATTGCAAAATTCTGTAAAGGCAGCATGCATATTTTCCTTGTAGATTATCCTGCATCCATGTGTACTCCACTGTTTTGTTTTGACAGTTATTAGAGCTGCAGTCCTCATCCAGAAGTGGTACCGCTTTACCATGGCCCGGCTGGAGATGAGGCGCCGCTATTCTCTCAGTATCTTTCAGTCAATTGAATATGCTGATGAACAGGATCAACTACAGGTTTGTAATCTTCCATTCTTCCTATAAAACAGTTATGTTATCCCCAGGACTGTGGTTGCACAAACAAAATGGGTGTGTGGTGATTTCTTCTACAAAGCTGGGTCTTGATTAATAAAACTGTTTCCCTGCCTGACACATGAACTAAGTTGTGTGTATTCATACACAGTCATACAGATGAATGTAACTACATAGGCTTCAGGACACCATTCTGCCATACAGCATGTCTAGGGTACAGGTTCCTGTATAGCAGCTCTGTTAGCCAGGGATTGCAGGTCAGCTACAGATCACTAAGGGTGATCTAAACTGTCTATGAGGCAATACATGTGCAACAGAGATATCAGTGTTTCAGCATGTCAGCCCAGGCTTCCCTTAGGGTCAGTATAGGAAATTTGGAACTTATAGGCCTTTGTGTTCATCCTAGCATCTGTGTCTAAAGTTGGCTCAGTGCATTGTAGCAGTTGTTTCTATTGACTATGAAGGAAGTCTAGGCAAATAGTCTGGGTGGTGGGAAACATCAGCAGCAGTGAAACAGCCCTGAAACATTTTATGTATTCATGAAGTGTCAGTTGTGAATTCATAGCAAAAAAAGGAAAACGAGCTATTTTTGTAGTAGGACACAAATTGTGTCATTACTGCAGGCTGATACTATGGAAATATACAGTAGTGACTTATATCCCCCTAAACGGGAAATTGCAAGTAACTGAGGAAGAAAGATGTTAATGCTTGTTGGATCACGTAAACTGATCAGTGTATTTGTTCTTTTCTTTTGCATACTCAGCTATCCAACTTTTTTACATTCATGCTGGATCATTGTACTCATCCTGATTCAGGTAACAATAAAAATAAAAGTAATGTGCAGATTGTGCTTGAAAAACTTGATGTGAAGAAAGTTAATTTTAAATGTCGTATTTACAGCTTACAGCATGTGCTGGGGTTGAGGTTTGATGTCCCAAATACTGTAATATGAATTTGATCCTCTAAGTGTTACACTGACACTATTCACTATCTACTTAGTAAGTCAGAGCAGTCAGTAAGTCAGAACAGATGCCTGTTGTCCTTATGAGAATATTCAGAGATGCTCAGAGTGCTTCCTTATATGTTGCTGCCCTTCTTAGAGAATCCAATTTTCACAGCTTTCTATACATGTTTCCTTAAACTATGAGATTTTGGTTATTCAGAAAGATTGTGTTCACTTGGTTTAAGGCAGGTATAATGAAAGAGGTTGCTCCTTTTCCCCCACCACCTCTGGCAGTTCTGGACCACGTTTTAATATAATTTGTTCTAGATTTCACTGCAACATGTATCAGTATGTGAATGATAAAAAAGGAAATAAATTTAAACTGCTGGAGATAAATCTTTAGAAACGATCTCAATTAAGCTTCAGTTATTCAAGGAATAACCTTTAATTTTTGAAGTATTTTGGGATCCTTGGACATAACTTGCTTTTGAGGTCAAGCTCAACAGAAGGACAGACTGAAAGTGATTCCTAAGTCCAGAAAACAAACATGACTTCCTTGAACAAATTCAGAATAGATCTAATCCCAGTGGAGTTAAAAATGAGGCTGTCCCCTTCTTATTGCATTACAAGAGAATGCCTTTTCTCTTTCATCTGGTCTAGCCACGGGTTATTTCAATTAAAATTTGCACAAGATACTTTGATAGCAGGATAAAACCACCATCAAAACCTTAAGTGGTTCAGTGTTCTAATGACAACCGGTAGAAATTGCAATTTTGCTCTCTTAAATACTTTAGAGTGCCTAATGCTCTCTGTGCTCTGCAGAAAAATAAATTACTTTTGAGCCTTGCTCCAAAGTCAAGGCAGATGATACAGTAATCCTCCCTTTGATTTTTTTTTTCCATTACTGCCATATTCTGTGAAAAAAATCTGCTTTAGTAATTTAACTTCCTGGGAAGGAATTGGCAAATTCAAAGAAAATCAGATACTGCTCACTTCATCTACTTCTTCATGCTCCTAGTGCACCTCTGTTCAGCTTTTCAACCTGAATAGGAAAGAAAAGAGTAGTTCTAGGTCTGAGATTTTGCAAAATATTGTTAATCTCTATTTTTATTATAATATTAAAATGTATTTTTACAACTGCTTGTTGTAGCTATGATTTTTCCACCTTTATTAACTGTGCCTACTGACAGAAGGAATGAAGGCAAGGTGTCTCAGGTGACTTGCTAGGGCTCAAGACATTGCAGAGCACACTGCTACATGCATAGGCTGTTCATGTGCAGGTGGAGATCTGAGCCTCACCTGTGCACAGTGAGGGATATGGAGGGTCCTGTGGACTGCTCCTCATCAGCACTGCACAGGTCACCTGATCTTGGTCTTGTAGGTATTGGGAATTGCAGATGTGGTTAAGACTGAAGCACATGATAAAGTGTATATGGTTTATGATAAAGTGTTCTTTGTCTTGCTAGCTTAAAACTTCCATCATTTAGGACTGCTGTTGTTAAGACTTGATAACTGCTCCAAAGGCTTCATTTTTGTCTTTTGTCTTTCTAACAGCATGTGTTACAGCTACCAGAACCCTAAACAAAACAGAAAAATTCCGCTGTATGTTTAACAGAGATGGCCAAGGCTGCCTATGCAAAGGAGCTGACTTAGATTTTTTTTGGAGGAATTGCACATCGAATGTGTATTGGTGTTGTGGTTATCTTGCCCAACTGCTGGCTGTGTGCATTCTTTGCTTTAAGCTCTTGATTGCTTGCCCCTGAAAGTGACCTTTGCAGCACTCATGCTAGCCCCACTAATGTAAGCAAAATCAAGTGGTGAGTAGAGGGATTCTTAAAAGAACTGCTTCCACTTTTGCTGAATCACCATCTTAAGATGTGAACCACAGTGAATGTAAACATAACAATCATAGAGGCTTCAAATTGACTTTGCTATTCTCAAGCATTTTCTAAAACCTTCAATTTTCTGGCTTTTTTTTCATCAGTGTGTGCTCACTTAAATTAGAGTGATAGCATATGGTTCAAAAGCTGTCTCCAAGAAGACAGTATATAATATTCTTACCAAAAAATATTACTGTTCTTCTCAGTATGTGATAAGAAAGTTAGCTGAAAAATTTGTGATCTGTGGTTTTCTTTACATTATAAACTACTCAGCCTCCACCATTAATCTTGTTACTTTCCTCTTTTTAATCTGTTTTTTCCAGATTATGTTTTGCAAAGAAAGAAAGCAGCTGCCATCTCATTAACACAGTCATGCTTTTGATGTGATTGTTTATCTCTTGTACCCTAAAGCTTTTTTCATCCTCTCATTCTCCTTAAGATGTCAGTGTAGTTTGTGATTGGGATATTATACAGATGAGTGTCTCATTCTGCTTCTTATTAAAGGCTATTTTGCAAGGGTTTGTGGAAAATAAGAATAAACCCCTTTTCTACCTTACACTTCTCTCCCTCATTTCCTAAAAAAACCTTCCTACCTTCTCAGCTTTCAATGGAAAGTTCTCTGGTCAGAGAAAGCTGGAAACTGCCTTTCCAGCAAAAGATGACCCATTTACTCACTCTTTTATGGGCACATCGAGGGTGAGAAGACTACAGACACATCCTGAGAAAAATGGTAGGACTGGGAATCTAAACCTGTTCATCTCAAGGTCACCAGGGCACCTCCTGGAGCCTTCCTTCAAAGGGCAACAAAAAAAAAAAAGTGTTGTTTTCTGCAGTTTCACTCCCCATGATGCCTCCCTTACAGCTTTAACACCCTTCCAAGATGTTTTGCACAGAGTGATTCTTACAGTGGGGAATGTTATAGCTGCTTGCTGTTTGTAGCACCAGGAATGGTGTGAAGGAAGAAATGTTTGAAGCATTTTAGAGACCTCCTTCCTCTTTGTAGGCTCGGTGTCCATTTGGCTTTGACCTGAGGGCTGTGGATAGGTATCTGGCTTATATAAGAGCACTTCTCAGGAGTCAGAGGTGCTCTCAGGTACCCCAGTGGTCAGGTTGAAGGTACACTGATGGTGGCAGAACAGAGAACTGATTTCAGAGCTGCAGAAGTAGCTGATTCCCAATTACCCCCATAGTGAGTACATTCTTAGCAGTGGCAGCTTTGACTTGCCTTGAAAAACTCCCATGGCAAGGTGATCTGGCCAGGAGAATCAGATCTTTGAGCTTTCTGTGGCCAAATTGACTCCACTTAGCTCTGGCTGTTTGTGCTGAACATGGAATATGGCTGCAGGGTAGTTTTTTGGGTTTTGTTAATAGTGAAGACTCCCTAAGCCTGGGCTAGACCTCAGGTGTCAGAGTACAAAGCAGGTCATTGCCTGTGCTTCCTCTAGTGAGTGGAGAGATGCAGATGCTGGCAGAAGATATTTCATTCTGTCTTGACACATGTGCCTGAACCAGGCATGCCAAGACTTTTCATCCCTGTCTTTTAGTATGAACTGAAAGAACCTTGACAGCTTTGACTAGCAAAATGTGAGGGGTGCTGAATCCTTTCAGAATTAATCCTGCATGGGGCATGTGGTGAGCTGGAGTACTTGCTGGACAGCATAGTCATTCCCCAGGCTGCATTAGGTCATCCATTACTGACTGTTGAGAGATGGGACAGTCATGCTGTGCAGGAAGAAGCCATAAAATCCAGCTGAAAGACAGCCTGAGGAGCCGTAAGCACACTCTGAGGGTAATGACCATGACTGGCTTTTGACAACTCATCCAGAAAGTGGAAAATGGGGTGTACTTTGCAGAGATATGTCCTACAGGGAAGGATTGGTTTTCCCAGCCTGAGCATGTGCCAAAACAGAAGTGAGTCTGTGAGGAAGGCAAGTTCATATTCAGAGGTAAAGCGATGGATGGATGGCCTACTGTGTGCTGGAAGGGAAGACAGGAGTAGGAGCAGGCATGGGCCTGCTTGGCTTGAAACGCCGAGAGGATCACTGACTCTGAAGGAGTCAAGTCAGATGAGAACAGCTGGTTAGAGCAGGCAAGAAATGAGGCATTTGGGTGCTCTGAGGAGTTGGTTCTGCAGTCACCCACTTCTTGGGAAATAGGGTGCAAAGAGAGATACTGTCCAGAGGCCTGCTGCTAGAGCTGGAGCAAGAATTGCTGCAAATGTGCTTGGCTGATCACATGTGAGAATCAGCAATTTCAGTCCATAGTGACATGCTGGTGTCCAGCCAGACAAAGCTGTAATCGTGGTGGAAGACTGCAAATCAAACTGCACTTGGTGAAAATGCTGAACCCTGAGCACCTTGCTGTTACTTGATGCTTTAATCCATTTAATTGGCTGAGTATAACATTGCATTAACACTGAATGTGCTAATCAGCTCACAGCTGAAGTGCTGATAGTAAAAAGGGACTTTTAAAAATCCAGATTACATTTTTATCTACTTATTTCTTTAATATGGATTTTATCCAGCTGCAAGACAAGTTGGTCTTTATGAATGTCATAATTTATGAGGCCACATGCTGGTTTTGGCTACTGTGAATTTTGAGTCACAGCTACAGGTCAGCTGTAAATCAGCAATAAATAATACAGCTACACCGCTGTAAATAATACATTTTATTTTCAGTTGCAAGAAATCAGGGTTACAGAAAACCTAACTGCAGCCCAGTAAAAAGTGTTTACAACAATCATCTCTCAAGAGCAACTCTGAAACAGCATCTGCTAGAACACTTTTGTTTAGGGCCTGGCTCTCTATTTTAGAATAATATATGGCTGAGACAACCTGAAAGAAGAAAACACTGAAATCTGCTGATCAGTCAGTTATGTTCTAAGGTTATGTCAACAAAAATATTGGATTGAAGCAATTAGCAGTGTTCCTACTTTCTTCATGTTCTGGGAAAATTAGAAGCTATGCTCTACTTTCACCACTCTGTTTTTGTTTACTTTATTTCAGACAGTAGTTTTATGGCAGCCAACCAAAAGCTGGCATTGTTTCCCAGCTGTATCAGAAAGACTTGATTTGCAATCTGCTGTGAACAAATAGAATTTTGTTGGTGACTTTTAAAATAATCACTGTGACCTGCTGGTATTTAGCCTAAGATTTTTGAGTAGAAAATAAAAGCAGTAGAAGTGAATCTTCAAAACCTGTACTAAAAGTGTAATATTGAACTTCAAACAGATTATGGTCATTAAATAATCAGCCAAGACTTTTGTGTCTCCTTGCCTCAGGGGAAAGGAGAAGGAAGTTTGTACCAGGTGGTGGTTCTTGTTACCTGTGAGCAGAATGCTCCACAACTTCAGTGCAAAATGTTTGCACCCTGATGACAGCTAACAGCAGCTGGAAAAGAGTTTTTACCTTTTTTAAACTTTGGTTTTGCCTTTTTTTCCTTGTTGTGGTTGATTGGTTGGTTGGTTTTAGTGCTGTGAAACAGTCTGGGGAGACCTGGAGCTTTTCCACTACAGGAGGCAGGAGTCAGCTGCTGTAATACTGCAGCAGTTAAAGCAGTTACATTCAGCCAGTTCTGGCCATGCTGTTACAGCTCTGTGGGGGACTGAAGTTTCTACATTTTTGTTTTTCTTCCATCTTGTTCCAGTTTCTCAAATTTTCACCAGCCCTAGTGCTCCTCAGGTGGTGGATGAAGACTTATGTTTAAAAGAATTTGAAAATAAGATTAATGTTCCAGATTCCTATTATGGACCACGACTCTCATTCCCCCTTACTGTTGAAGATGCCAATGCTCTCCTTCATGCTTTCAGGAATGAACAGGTAATTTGCAAGAAGTTTGTTTCCTATTCTTTTTAACTTATTTTATATCTGTCAAGCTGTAGTTCCACAGTCCAATGTAAGGCTAAACTGGTGCCCAAAGAGATATTTCACCCTTCTTTTACATCTCACTACTTTTTCCTGCTAGCTCAGTGTGATCATAAATGTGCACGGTAAGCTGCCTTGGGAAATTAATCTGGCTGTAAGCAAACAAAGTAATATCAAAAGCAGACAGTTCTCAGACAGACAAGTCCCCACTTTTGATTCACTGCTTTACTGCATGACCACCAGGCCCAGCTTCTGGGAGGAGGCAGGGACTAGTGAAATGAAATGGGAACCCTTAGCAGCTGCAAGGCAGGTGTTCTCAATGAGAGTGCAGGACTGGGGAAGGTGTCCTAAGCTAAATAGAAACTAATTATCATCTTTTTATGGGTTAAAAGTGTTCATTGTTTGGTTCTCTTTTTCCCAGCACCTCACTGTTTTAGAGGAATTGGCGTGTAAGGGTTAATCACGTATTGCAGGGTGCAAGAATCCACTGTAACAGTGGAGTGACTATAAAGCATTGCTAATGTAGCAGACCAGAGTGCACAAATCTCTGGAGCTCAGGCTGCAGCTTCCAAGGCACTGAGGAGGCTGTTCCTCACTCTCTGTATTCCTGAGCAAGCCCTTTTGTTGCCCACAAGATGAGGATGGAGCAAGGAGGCATTAAACGGCACAGCTTCATTTGAACTTGTAATTATTTCTGCTTAAGAATATTCTATATAAAAGGGGCAAGGGTCTATCATGCCTTTTAATTTACTAAATAAGAATATATTTCTCCAGAAATTTTCTGTGGAGGCTGGTGTAAATGTACAAAATATAAAGCACATAATAAATAAGCCAACCCAGACTTCACCTTACTGTCCACTCTCTCTTCTCTAACTACAGCTGGCATTTTATTAAGGGAATAGTCATATGTAATTAACCTTTCTGTTTGCTTAAAAACATGAATCTTGAAAACTCATTTTGTTGCTCATCTATCTCCTCTACCAAAATTCCTCAGATCTCTGGTGGAATTAAGAGTTTTAAAAATCACCAACTGACAAAATTTTCATAAAAAGCATTAGGAGAGAAGACCAGAAACTTCAATGTTCTGTTGTTAAAATTTATTCATTGTGAACAAGAAGATAACCCTTACCAAGGCAGCCCTTACTGGAATTTTCTTGTCATTGTTCCTGAAATTTGCTGAAATATAACTTATGGCCTTTGGGGGGTTTTTGTTGGCTTGTGTTTTAGAGGTTGTGTGGGTTTTTTGGGTTTTTTTGTTTGTTTGTTTTTTACTCACACCTAGAATTATATCCTTTTTATTTTTTCCCCAGTTACTTTAAACAGATGGCCTTATGCAATGATTCTGAGTGCTCTATCTTATCTCTTCTGAAAAACAGGAAGAGTAGAAACAGTACAGTATAAATAAGGTGGGAAAATCTGCAAAACAATAAGTTCAGTAAGGGGTCCATATCCATTCACTGGGAAGCAAATGCAAAGCTATGAACACTCCTAATTCCGAGCACTAGGCCGTACAGCCTGTACTCATGTCTGGAGGTCTGCATTATAAATAACCTTGGCAGGACATGTCTGATATTAATAAGGCACACAGACCTATTGCTAATTCAAAGAAGTCTTCCTTTTCTACCTGCTTTTTCTTCTCACAGCTGCTTCATGCCCGCTATGTACTGCAGCTGCTAAGTGAAACTAGGAGGGTTCTCAAGGAGATGCCAAATATCACCCATCTTTCAACTTCCTACTCCAAGGAGATAACTGTCTGTGGTAAGGTGCCAGAGAAGATAACTGCTTTGGGCTATGGGTTGATATTCTAAGTGGTTAGAGAATGATACTGCTATTTCCAAATTCTGTCATTAGAATAAAGTTCTCAATGCCCTTTTAAAAAATATTTATTTTTATTTATTTTCCCCCACAAATGCCTAAATTGGAGCAAACAACCAAAAAAAAAAAATAATGTTCCTGAGTCATAGTAAGTATATTTTAAGAAATTCCCTCACCTCCACTTTCCTGTTCTTGTTTAACGTTTCTGAATGAGTCAGTATTAATTCAGCTAACACTGCAGTGCAGCTTAAATACTCCTGCACTTCCACCTCTAAAATGCCACCAAGTATTTTGATCACTGGCTGTAAGCCTCACCTCTTTCTCCTCTCACTGAGAAAAAGACTTTACTAGTAATGATTTTAATGATTTTAATCATAATTTACTCCATAATGATTTTAATGGGGGTTTAATATGGGTGGAAAAAAGACCTTTTGTTGACAGCATGACTGTCTAGAATAAACTGAAATGATAATAACCCTTCATTTCTAGGGAGACCCAAGAGGATGGGTAAGTCTTTATACAACCAACAAATTAATCTCACAGAATAATGTGTCACACAGTAAAGAACTAAGAGCTCTTTGCCTATCTATTTTGTTATATTTTTGTAGATTATGGATAATGGGATGCAGTATCCTGGCTTGACACAGAATGCAGTAGCTGCAAAACAGAACAATGATGGTGACATAACTCTTGACATCTATCAGTGTGTGCTATGTGTAGTAGTAAAGTAGTATAAGGGAGGTACTTGCAAAACAAATGTTTTTTAAGATGTGGTTATGGACCTACTTTGATTGCCAGAAAAGGATTTTTTAAAATGACGTTTTGTATAAACAGTAATTCATTAACCAAGCCAACAAGACCCCTTTCCAAACCAAGGAAACACAGATTCATGCTTGTTCACAACACATGTTCTTGTTAAATAAACATTCCTCTTCATGTTTGTCTTGCATTTGCACTATGTAACCGACATCAAAAGGGATCCCTCTCCTGTACTGAAACGAAAAGTTTTTGTCACCAGAAAGACCCTCTGCAGAAGACTAATAACCCATTTTTAAGTATAATCAGTCCAAAATGTTGATCTCCTTAAGGTGTCACTCTCCATTTCTTTTAATTTCAAATTAATAATGCAGATTAAATATATGCCTGAAATGTTTGCATCCACATATTTGATAAATACCTATCATACCCTGTAAGATCCCTTAGAACAAATTCAGCAGGCTCATAATTAATCAAAAGTTGCACAGAAAACATATACACATAAAAATGTCACTTTTCCTAATCATTGGTGGTAAAAGCATATTATCATAAGGCAGGTTTTGAAACTTCTGCAGCTTGGTGGTGGTGAGTCACTGACTCAGAGTCACAGAGGAGGTTGGCTCTGTGATCAAAAAATGCAGTCAGATGCACAGGGGATGTGTTGGGGTGAAATCCTCTTGCCTGTGCAAACAAACCTCTCAAAAACAGCCCAATCCACCATTCCTGTGTCCTTAGCATTGAGGCACACAGTCATGGACAGTTCTTGGCACTCTCCATCACTTCTTGCTAGTAGTAATCAAAACCTGTCCCTGAAACATGTTCAGTTGTGCAGTATAAAAAAGTAAATTTGGTAAATTTAAAGCCATTAGTATGCAGAAGTCTATTATATTTCAAAATGTCTTTTAGTGGCATTTTCTGGGTTTATATACAGAAGGGAAACATGGAGAAAAGCTTATTAGGTCCAACTAATTCCAGTTTTATAATTCCAGTTTCTTCCTCTTCTGTGAGAAAATTTTTAAAAAATAATATTTGTTTTTCCTGTAGGAGATTTGCATGGAAACCTGGATGATCTTTTGCTGATATTCTATAAGGTAAGTAGGTACCCTGAGATTTAGCATTTCCACTTTGATTTATTAATAAGAACAATTATTTATGTGTGAGAGATTTATCACCATTAGAACTGCTCATGTGGTGTGCATGTACCACACACACAGTTTGTGGAACAATTTGGTGTCTTTGTCAGAGCTTTTCCTTCTTCATATCCTCCTGCTCACTATGAAGGAGATAGAGGAGATGATTACTTTCCTGCATGCTGAACTGCAGGAGGACTCCTTGCAAGGTCTCCAAAGTTCTGCCACTGTTTTAAATTCCATATTGACTGAAGTCTGCTCAAATCAAGAGCTGAGTTCCTGATGTAACACTACACCATGGATAATTTTGATACTCAAGAAAAAAAGCAGAAGCTTTCATTTAGGCCTTCCACTGATACCTGCAGATTTTTTGGTTCACTTTTGGGTTGTTTGGGGGGTTTTTGTTGTTTTGGTTTAATTGTTTGGGTTTGTTGGTGTTCTTGTTGTTTTTTCTTTGAGGGAGTTACTTTTGTTTCTAACAGGAAACAAGAGTGGTGTTTGAAAGCTTTTTAAGCCTTGGAAGCAATCACATGGTCTGCACAAAATACAAGTATTTTGGGCACCCTTTATACATCCTTTTTCATCATGCTAAAAAAGCATAGCTTGATTTTACTCATGTGTAAAACAAATTAAGCTCCAGGCTAGCTTTTCCACAATTGTAAGTTTAACTGAAGATGCAGGAAATGTTGGGTATTTAGTTTCATATTCATCTTCATGATGAATCACCACCTTTGACTGAGCAGGTATTCTCTTTGATTTGAGCTTTCCGGGGTGAAAGGGTTTGTGTCAGATCCTTACACATTCATCTGCGCTGAATGGAGACTGAAGTGAGCTAAACCAGGTGTTTAAATGATGCAATTCTGCCCCTGCTTCCACCTTTGTTACACTTCGTCTGACACTTGTTGAATGAAAACGTGGTTGTTTTGTCCAAGTGCACACCAGAAGTCTGTTAAGTATAGTGAAAGTATAATCAAACCTTTTTTTTAT